AAAACGATTCTGATCAGAGTTCGGTTATACATGTTATGAAAACCCGTGATATTTACGAATTGAAAATTTCGTACATTTTGTACATTTTCCCGGTTTCCCATGAAAACCCCTGGGAAAATCAAAAAAATGACCTCTTTAAAACACCACTATAGTCAAATTTCCTTCTAGAAGAAGTGCTAAGTTTGGAAACCGGAGCAGAATTGCTGGTAGAAAAATTGTTCACAGATAAAAAATTAAAAAAAAAAAAAAAAAAAAAAATGAAATAAACATCATTGTAAAATCGACACCTCGCTCCGCTCGGAATCTAAAATAATAATTATTTAATGAAATAAATAAATCAACGATAAGAAAAAAACATAACGACGTATAAAAATGTTATTAAACGGTTATTTTTCTACTGTGTTTAGTCCCGGCAGAAGCGCTAAATTATAATATAATAATATATATTGTTTTTTTTTTTTTATTATTACATTGTAATAATTTATCTCGTTTTTAACAATCGGTTAGAATATAAATACTGTACCTATTGTATAAAATGCAGCGGTTTAAGGTTTCAGTATTTATCAGTAGGCATTATGACTTCTAATAATGCCGGGAATTTTATTTTATTTCAATTATAATCTTATTCAGAGTTGAACAGTCATCAACAATTATAATATAAATAATCGTTCAATTCATTGTCTAGATTATTTAAAACATAATAATAATTACGTAACGTTATGACATTTCATTATGACGTGTATTTGTCAGTGATACATACATGTATACTTTTTATACGCGTCGTTTTTGTTTGTCGTTTGGCCATTTGTATTTTAATGATATTCAAAGTAGTAAAAAAAAAAAAAAAAAAAAAAAAAAAAAAATAAAAAATAATACCTGATACACGAAAGTTACGCGATTTAGCGGTTTCGAGTGATTTTCGTAGAACAAAATAATCATTTATCGAGATCCAATACGTTGTTGTAGTCATTGGCGGGGGATTTAAAGGGAGACCGTAACGTCCCCTATCGCTAAACACGCTCCTAAACGTTTCCGATTTATGGTTGTAGTATTCTTGTTACTATAATTTTGTTTATACTCAAATATTTTAAATTTAAACTTTTAAATACTAAATTTAAGTACCACAATAACGTGTATTTTTTACCTAACCGTATGTGTAACCATCATTACTATCAAAAACGTCGGAATCCCCCTGCCCTCAAACATCCCTTTCTGGTTGTCATAATAGGTGCATATTCCAAACATACCAAGCATGTAATTCGAACTTGGTTCGATAAATTGCCGTATGCGGGTACTTGATGACTTGAATTTTCGACCGGAATACAGAAGAAAATAAAAATGTTTCCGCGCGACAGAGAGGGGACGACGACAACAAATTTGGCGGCCACCACTTTTATGTCAGACCCTAAACCTAATTTCTAACCCTCGTATCCGCGGCGGTAATAGGTCGACAAAGGAAACAGCTGCCGTTCGGTCCCTTTATTATTTTCTATAGATTATAAAATGAAAACGTGTTTTTTTATTTTTTTTGTTTTGTCCGTGCCAGCGGCGACAATCGATCCCTCCGCCGAGCAGTCTATTTGTTTGAATTCGTACACAAAAAAAAAGGTCTTTTTGGTTACTCTAGCAAGCGCGTGCATGCGGGTGTTGTTTGACGGTCCTTTTCTCTGCGCCGCACTGCAAATAAAAAATATTGCGCCCGGCGGTTATATATATATATAAAAAAAAAAAAACCGTTTCGAATTATTTAGGTCAAGGGGAAACGACGAAGGGATACGGTCGGAAAAAAAACAACTACAGAAACCGGCCGTACAAAACACAAACCAGAGCCGGTATAATATTGCGTCGAATGAATCGGGAATACCGTGTTACTTATTCGGTTTGTTTTGCGGTTCCTCGTCCGAAATATTCTGTACACTGTCGACTTGTGAAATATTATTACGCGCGCGCGGAAAAACTGACGAGAAAAATACGTCCACTCGTAATATGTTTTTCGGGTATAATAGTTTTATCGTCAGGTGTAAAAGGTTAGGGGAAAACCGAATACAGCGCTGGTTAGCTGGAAATGTCTATTATGCCGGTAAAAAATTGGGATTTTATTGGTGCATCGGTAGTTTTTCCGTAGCGTTTAGAAACGAACGTGTTTTTTTCTCTTGCCGAAAACGACGCGTGACGAAAAACACGAGCAACGGATAAACGTAATATTTTCTCGTTAAACTAAAAAAAAACTTCAACCGAGTGCTGTGAGTTGTTAAAAGAGGCCTATAGTGAGGACTTCCTATCTCGGGCGCGTGTTTTTGAGTGGCGTAAATTATTTTCCGAAGGTCGAGAGTGCACCGGAATCCAATTCAGTCGTTATCCAAATTTAAAACCGTTTTCTTCGATATCAACGGCATCGTGATGACTGAATGGGTTCGAGAGGGTCAAACTGTGAACCGACATTACTATTTGACAGTTTTGGCAACATTGCGCGAATGAGTTCGTAAGAAACGGTCGATATTGTGGAAAAACAAGTCGTGGATCTTGCACCAGGATAAAGCGTGAAGCGTTGTTTGGCCGCTTAAGGCACTCCAGTACTCGAACACGCGTCTTACTCACCCGACTTGGCACCCTGCGACTTTCATTTGTTTCCGAAGATAAAGTCTGCGTTAAAAGGAATCCGGTTTGAGTCGATGTGTGAAGAGGTGAAACGAAAATCGGCGGAACTCCTGAACGGTCTTACGAAAACAGACTTCCAGCACTGCCTCGAGCAACGGAAGAAACGAACGATAGGGTGTGCGAAGAGGGGAGGAGAGTATATCGAAGGGGAACATTGGGTTGTGGAATAGTTTTTAAAATAAAATCATTTTTCATAAGCAGTCTCGTTCTGTAATAGCCAGACCTCGTATGGAACAAAGTCGCCGTATCCGCGTCCGTCCGCGCGCTTATCGCACTACGGATCGTAACGCGGTGTTTTCCGCCACCCGGAAAAAAAAAAAATATTTACTCCGGAACGTCCATATCGCGTAGCGCGGTACACGCAGCGTCGTAATTTTAAAAAGCAGAGAAAACCGTTTTGTAATCGAGCCGTAAAAAAACATTTGTTTTCCGGGCGCTCGCTAACGTTTGCCAGAAACAACGGGGATACGACGTAAAAACGACGAAACCGAATTCCACGAACGCGAAACACGCGATCCGGATTAAAAAACGCACGTGCGTCACATCGGTATGATCGAAAACGCGCCGATGATGTAATAGTGATAATCCGACACACGAATGTCCCGGGACGCCCGTTGCCGTTCCCGTGCCGTTTCCGCGCGCGCCGTCGAAATCGTTACCCCGACCCGCCGCCGTCCGGACGCGGGCCGTCCGCCCGAAACGCGAAATCATACACACAATCAATCGCGCGGGAACCGCCGAATTACGATTCCGGTACGGATCCCCGACGGGTGTGACAATGCGGCCGTACAAAATTTTCGTTCCGCGCGCGGGTTTCCCACGTGTCGCATTCGTACAACTATGAACTACAATGGCCGACGCGGGGGCTCCGGAATGACCGGAAATGACCGTGATCGTCATTGTTGCCGGTAAGCCCGACGTTGTTCGCCGTCGACGGCGGCGGCGGTTTGGCTCTCGTCGCGTTCGCGTTCTGCCGGTTTTTCAGCGGTTTTTCGACGGATCGCTACGACGCACGGGCGCAAAGTCCACGCCGCCGCCGTACCACCGGGCACCCGCCCGCCCGTAGGTAGACCCGGATCCGATTGAAATTTAACAATTCGTTTATATTTTTTTTTTTTTTCGTTACGCCCGCGCCAAACCGCACCGCCGGAACAATGTCAAACATTGCGAATTCCGAAACAACGACGGCCGCGGTTGCCGAAACGAATTGTCCGAACCGTTCGCGCGATCGTGTTTCCCGAAACGTTCGAACGTATTGTATTTATTGTTGAAGCAAATGTGCGCGCGCTGCGGCCAGAACCGTTTACGGGCATAAAGCGTAATAACGCCGCGCGACCGTAAATATAAAATTGATTATTATCGACAAGCGACGATAACCGTGAAAAACAAACGGCCTAAATGCGTACGCGGCAACGGGATTTCCGGTTTATTATAAAATCCGCGCGCGGCCACCGTCGAGACGGTCTACTCGTAAACCGCGAATAATTACTATTAAAAAGTCGAATTTTTTATCGTGATGTGCGTCACGCGAAATAATCGAACGCCGTCAATTGTACGGCGCGCCCGCCCGTCGCGGTCTACCGGCGGTGCCCGCGCACCCGAGAACGCGAGCGTTTAGCCCGTGCACTACCCGGACAATATTTTTGCGGAACGCACGTCGGACGGGCAACGGGGAAAAAGACCTGACGCACGCGCGCCTAGAGCCGTCCGGACCGTCCGTAATGCGACACGTCGCATATTATGTGTTGTACGGAAAACGCAACGCTGCCAACCGAGCCCCGCTCGGAATCGTTTTTCTTTAGCAATGGTCGAATTTTCGCCTACACGTCGCTTAATTCCCCCGCGTCCCACGTTCCCGAATACTCGTCCACAACACCGTCCGTCCTATTTGTGTGGGGTATTTTTTTTCTCGCCGTATTTTAACGATGACCGCCATGGTAAACGGCGCATTATCGGTAATCGATGGTAATTCGAATGCGCACAATGAAATTGCATTTCGTTCCCGGCTGTGCGTTGTCGTCGCGTACTTACACCGAGCCACCGCCCGTACCCGTCCCAACTGTCCCACCCGCACCCGTCCCAACTGTCCCACCCGCGACAGCGGTCCGCGCGCATCGCCATTCCCCCGTGCGAGGAGCGCGGCGACGGCGACGGCGTACAAAAAACACTCCCGGTGTTTTTCTGTTTTCCCCTCTCCCCGTTACGGTATCCCTGACACGTCATTGTCTATTGTGACTTGACCGGTTCTCGACTGCACGCGCTCAAACGCCGCGCGCCGCGCACCGGTCGGCGCAACGGCGGCGCGGAAGTCCGACCGGTTTCTGCGTCATACAACCGCCGTTAGTGTTTTGCTCGACACGCGTCCCGCGAGTAACCGTGCTGCCGTATCGCTCGCCGTATTTTGTTTCGTTTGTGAACTGTGTCATACGTCCGTTTGTTCGTTTTCCCGCCAACTACTTGTTCGACTGCCGTTTTTGTGTTTCCACACCACATTCTGCCAGCCGGTCGTATTGGTCGCGTCGTCGGTGAAGTAAACAGAACGCGCGGAAAAATCGAAAGGTAAGTCGACGTACGTTTTAATAACAATAACGGCGAAATGGAATCGCCTAGGTCGTATTGGTTTTGTGTCCTGTCAAAAGGGAAAACCGACAGCGGAGATAGAAACAAGAAAAATGATAAAATCAGTTGGTTTTTTTTTCACGGGGGTTTTCGCAGGCGAGTTTGCTCGTTTATCATGCCGATAACACGGTATTACATCGGCAAATGAAAATTGTCTTTTAACAGCAACGCCTCTGAAATACGGTGAAAAAATGTCGTTCAGTTGTTTCGGACAGTACGCGCAACCGTAAACAAAATAAATAAACGGTCGCACGAATACAACTATGTGTGCACACACTTGTTCCCGATGTTCTCCAACTATACAGGGTGTACAATGTTTCATAAGACGCTCATCTCGGAGAGTATTGACTTTTTTTTGATATTCGTTTTATAGAAAATTTTAGAAACAAGCAGCACTGACGTTTTACATTCGTGTTATTTTTCGTCGCCGTAATTTTTGGGGATGAAAGTACTGGCCACTTTTGAATTTAAATGGCGACTTGTATTAAACATTCCATAAACAGATCAAGTAGTAGTTAAAATACATTTTGTAGTTTATATTTTCAATTTCTGTCAATCCCTTGACGAGATTTTCCACATTTTAATGTTTTGTACGTGAAAGAGTAGTGGAACATCGTTTGCGTGACGGCACAGCGCGCGGCGTTTAAGAATGTACCACACCACTACTCTCCCCCGACCCAAACTTAAAAGTGTAATATCTCGTCAACCAATTAATGGAAATTAAAAATTCAAGCACTGACATTTATTTTAACTACTAATCCATCTATTTATGGAATTTTTATTATAGGTTGCCGTTAAAAATAGCTCATAGTTTTAACGTTTAAATATGATGGAAAAGGACACATAGTTAACAAATATTAATTTTTTTAGATGGCAGACCAGATCAAAACCAAGGAGATGATCTCAGGCCAAGAAGCAGTGGAGAACAAAGAGCAAAATGTTGAATCGGTGGAAAAAAAAGAGAAAGATGTTGAATCGGTGGAAAAAAAAGATAAAGATGTTGAATCGGTGGAAAAAAATGAGAAAGATGTTGAATCGGTGGAAAAAAATGAGAAAGACGTTGAACTGGTAGAAAATAAAGAGCAAGATATTGAACTGGTAGAAAATAAAGAGCAAGATATTGAACTGGTGAAGAATAAAGAGCAAGATATTGAACTGGTGAAGAATAAAGAGCAAGATATTGAACTGGTGAAGAATAAAGAGCAAGATGTCGAACCGATGAAGGATAAAGAACAAGATATTGAACCAGTGGAGAATAAAGAACAAGATTATGAACTAGTGGAGGATAAAGAAAAAGATTATGAACTAGCGGAGGATAATGAAGAAGATTATGAACTAGCGGAGGATAATGAAGAAGATTATGAACTAGTGGAGGATAAAGAACAAGATGTTGAAATGGTGGAGAAAAAGGAGCAAGATGTTGAATTGGCGAAGAAATCAATCTCTATGGTAAGGCAGTACCACAATGGTTAATGTAGGATACATATTTCATAACTAAAAAATATTAAATTTTTCAGACAGAGGACAAGGAAAATACCGAGGAAGAGACAACAGAAGAAGAAGAAACAGAGGAGCAACAAGAACCGGAAGAGAAACCAATGTCAGTAGTGAGACATTTAATGTCACTGGTAGAGCAGACAAAGGATGAAATAAAAACGGTTTTGCTTGGTAAACGCAAGGCACAAACTTCTTCAAACAAAGATTCATTGGATCAGGAAAAACCTCAAGGGTCCGAAAAAAGGCCCTACCCGCATGATTCGAAACAAATCGAGATGGCTAAGAAAGAGCCTCATATAGATTTATCAGACGAAGATGATGTAATTTCCTTATCCGAATAAATGTATTAAAGTACATCATTTATACTGCAACGTCTTGCAACTACTCAATATGAACATAACAGTGGAGGAAATTCCTCATCATATTATATTAATCATATTATTTTGTCTATTGAAATCATCAAGACGTGTTTAATACATTTTTAAACTTATTTTAAGGAGTTCTCATTTCTGTAAATACATCACCTTCCTTTTAATTCCGCTATTGGTCATGTCACAAGTGCAATAGATGAAACAAAATGTCAGAATGGTAGGCTATTTAAGGTTCTAGGATATTTTAGTAGAAGGGTATTTTGGTAAATTGATAGTTAAGTAAGTAATGATTAAAAAAATTGCTTTGTATAATGCATAGCTTAAAGGTGCCTAATTGATAAAAAAAATAAAAAAATAAAATAAAATACAAATTTAGTTTATAAAGCGTATTGTGAGTATAAATGTATAATTCCATAAATTATTATTTAGTGTTCATCTTATTCATCTTGTCAACGTTTAAATAAAATTATTTTTCTGTGTACCTACAAATAAGGTGAAAAAAAATATTTAAATTCGGGAAATTAATTAAACGGAAATCTAAATAGGGTATAAAGATAAAAATGTTATTTAGATACACTGGCTATTATAAAACAGAAATATAATATTTGTCTTAGGAGGTGCTAAGTCATTTTTTTAGTAGTAGCCGTCCCCAGTATCAGCTCTTTTTTAATATATATAATATATCTTTTGTAAGACATTTTAAAAAATCTAATTAGTTTAATCATCGATGGTTTAATTAAAAATTAATTAATTTGTATCTATTTGATTATACATAATCAAATTTTGTTTTACTATAGTATAACTGTATAGGCATATGTGTAAAATATTTTAGATTCTGAGTGTGACGAAAAATGTTTTGGTTTTACTAAGATGTTTAATTTTATTTATACTTGGTACAAAAATTCTGTCATAAATCTTGGTTAGATATATACGCGCGATACCATTTCTGAAAGGGAATGTTCTCCGGATGGTACTTTTAGGAGGTCATTTTTTGATTTTCTAAGCGGTTTAATATGAGGAAAAAACCAAGATAAAACGTAAGAAAAACGGTAAATTTACGAAAATAATGCTTTCATTATTTTTCAACTTGTTAATTGTTATAATTTAGTTAGACACATTTGTAGAGACATGAAATTTGGACAGAAGACTTATATTTGCCTTTTTTAAACGTGGTAAAATGTTTAGGCTTTTTATACAAATTTTAATTTTGAGAGTTTTATACGTTATATTTATTCGGTAGATAAAATTGTTAGACTTGAACAGAAATGTCAATGTATCAAAATGTAAATCAAAATATATGATACATATATTGTTGACAAATCATTACTATCAACTGAACTGCGCTCAGAGTAGTTTTCTCGTTAGCAACGGTTTATCGTAACTTACATAGATATACATTAAATTACCTATTACAGTGGCTGCACCCGTCTCCATTTTCCTAGGCAGTCTTTTTATTATTATTATTATTATTATTATTTTTTTGCTCCTCAATTCGTTTTTAAATCCTATAAATATAACATTTGTGTGTACAAATATGTTGGAGAGAAAAATATTTTAAAAGTCTTGTCTAGATGGTAGGTTTCCTAATAGCTTGGTTTTCTCGTAAACACGTCTATTTTATTTTATTTTTTTTTTTTTTTTTAGTAAATAATATAACCCGTCCGTCAAAGTTTTTTCAACTTTAATCACTTTTTACAATGTACATATTTGTTTGTATAGAATTGTATTCAAAATAGGGGCCTACGAATAATGGTAGAAAAAAAAAAAACGGCGAATCGGCTGTGCACCAAATCCCTTCCCCCTGAGTCCACCCATGATTATAGTTTATGTGGTATACAGATGGCAACACTAAGTGTGCGAGTTGTCGAACTTAATATTATATCGATTAAAATCGGCTACCGGGCGGTGAATTTATTGTTGTTCGGACACCTATTGAAAAATACTGCGTTTTCACGGTGCATGACGTTTTCAGTTATCCTAAAATGTGTATTAAACATCGGCGTCATACTTTTCGTGGCATAGGCATTTTCATGCATTTCTTCCATACCGAATAAAAGTAAACATTACGATGTAAATAAAAGAATTGAAAACGATTTATATTCTTACAGTGGTGCCGATAATTATTTCAAAATCAAATTTGCCTGTGTACCTATAATATAAGATATCCCATAAGTAACAATAATGTACTTAGTATTGTTCACAAGACGAGTGAATATGATAAAATGTTATTGACCGGTAAATCTTGGTAATCATCAAACCTTTGACATGCGCTCCGAATAAATCTAGCCGGTCGAATTTAATTGAAATTCGATTAAAATCGAACAACATTAAAAATATTATAGCCGCAACAAGCCGCGTGTGAGAAAAAACAATATTCGACTCTATTCTGTTGCTCACGGGCGGTTTGTTTATTATTATTATTATTATTATTATTATTATTTTTTTTTTTTATACAATCTTTGATCGCATCGCCCAAAAGTCGAATTCTCGATAATATTATACTATCGACACGAACGCATGCGTTTAGACATTTTCGTAATTACGCGAGTACAGTGGTTTTTCTCATTCATCCGCCACCCCCGCCCCATCACCCCCAATCGCCGGTAACGGCCGACGACTACACGACAACAGCGATGGGTGGGCTGCAAGTGATTTTTCCACACGTTGCTATAATCCCGAATTTTCGACCGGCCGACAAAACGTGTTTCTTTACAAATTTTATATGCTTATTGTTATCGTGTTTTCGTTCGTTATTTTTTCTCCCTTTTTTCCTTTTTTTCTTAGACGCCACGACGACGCCGTCGACCGTTTCGACCTTATGCAGACGTCCGTCGGATTTATAACAGTGTGCGATTGATTTGAACGCGCGCGCGTTTCAAGTAACAAGTAATGGTCTTCGTTGCGCGCATTCTACGTAAAGACAAATCGAAGGTATAGGCACATTAATAATAACGATACAATCGCAGACGGGCAGCTGGTTACCTCCCTCGAGGAGGATCAAACCAACCCTCGATTCTAAGAACGATTATCATTATTCAATATCTGACACGTACTGACATTCAGGTCTACAAACCGAAGCACGCAAAAATGCCTCACCACTTTGTTCGAAAATTTAAAAAAAGATAGTAATTAAACGTATTATTGTACAATTTTTCCGGAACGTTAATATTAATAATTATATCGGCACTCTGTAGACGTATTAAAATTTTCAAAAAATCCCGTGGGTCCGTTTAACCGGTTAAAGGCATTTTAATCGTAAAAATCGCGGTATTTCGGAACATGTGTAACCGAACGTGGTTCAGAATCGTACTTCGTTAACCGTGATTTGTCGGATATCCAGCCCGCTCGACTTGAGCAGTGTAGGCTCGATTATTTCACACCCATTACAGGGACCATATACATTATTGTCGACTGTGCACCGGTACATCCTTCCAGTGTAAGTGTCCTCGTTCATCTCGTTGAACGTTACACGTTTGACGCGGTTACCTATGTGTGATTAAATACTTTATATTTACCTAGACGAGATGGCCATTTTGTTGTACCTACCTAAATATATAGTTCATAATGTTATTATTATCGTGCTGAATTCAGTGGCGAACGTAAGAAAATATTTCGGAGATTGGGGGGGAGTATAAAATGTTCGTAAATATTATACTATTCCTACTGTATTACCCTTTATTTTAGGTACTTATGTATATACACACACACATATATATATATATATATAAATATATTAATTAATTATTACAATTTGTCAATAAAAAAATAAGCATTTTATTTATTAGTATTAACATCATCGTCGTGTAAATGTATTATTTCATGTTTGGGGAAATGTTATTATACTGCGTGGGTATATTATAATAACAGCGTTTTAAACTAAATAAATAATTGTATAGCTAGTTAACGATAGCTCATATTATTACGATTTGCATCAGATAGTGGCATGTCGGGTTTCCGTCTTTTAGTCGGCGGACTGTCTACGGACGATTTGTCTGAATCCACGTGAATCGGAACTGAGTTGTGGTGTTTTTATTTTCTGGTTTGAAAAACTGAAAAAATCGAACTAATTTTGAATTTTTGTATTTACGCTTAATATCATAACAATACGTCAATCAAAACTAGTGCATAGTGGTACAACAAAATAATAGGTTTGTCGGTGTATTCATTAGCGGTGTAGACGTGCGGTTTAGGTATTTGTAGGTCAGGTAATTTATTTTTCGTTCCTGGTATTCCGGGGCGTGTTTAAACCCCCAAATCACCCACCCCCCTCCCTCATGCGTTCGTCCTTCTCAAACGTGCTTATACACGAACATAACTTTGCAAGTCCAGACGAACAATAATAATACATAGGGTCCGAAAGTGGGCGGGCTCAAGTTGTCAGAAAACAGATTACTTATAACTGAATTGTTATTTGGAATGTGCCAAAGGGAATGAAATATTATGTCTCACACGAACAATATAAAAAAAAAAAAAACTAAAAAAAAGGTTTCCTAACGACAAACGGTATGAAATATTCAGTAATTGAACGCGACGTGATAAGTGTATACATACTTTATACTGCGCACTTTGTAGAGCAGTAAGTACTTTTTCAATATTCTTAAAAGGTTTCCCATCACAAGCCATCACGAAATAATGTCGAAAACGTCGACGAGGTAATATAGTGCGCGACGCGTTAATCTAATTTAATTTTGCCAGAGACGAGGTGCGTTGATATTTTCAGTATTCGACATTATTATAATTATAATGCGGTATACAAATTGATATTGTGGCGAAACGTTTCGAATATTTTTATGTCGAAATCAAGAACTCAATATTACATAATTAAATATTATTATTTTTTTTTTTTAATATCCAATTTATATTTCGGAAGACCTGAAAATGCACGGGTAGCTAACCTACCCATAAAAAACACGAAATCACCGGGATTGTTTATTGTGACCAAAAATATATTTTTAAATTATGTTTAAACACAATATTCATAGTGCAGGTTTACAAATACACTAAAACCTCAAAAAATCAAATAAATGTCATATCGACCAAAAAGAAAAAAAAAATAATAATGTAATAATTATTAAAGAGCCTTGATAAAATAACATACGTTTTCAAAAAAGAGCTTTTGTGAAAACGTCA